GTTCCTTCTCTTAAGCTCCTTATCTCAGTGAACCATATCACCATCTTCCCAGAACTAAAATCTTCCTAATTCCTATATTCAATCCCTAAATCCCATCCAGTTTGACTTCTTAATACCTCTTTCCATCCCCTCGTCTACCAGTTTACCTGGGGCTGCTGTCATCTCTCATTTAGATTACAAAAACAATATCCCTTCTAATCCACCTGCCTTTAACCCACCTTTTTCCCTTCAATCAAAGTGATTTTCTAAAACATAAATGCAATGCTATCGCTCCTCTGATGAAAACCTTTTAAAAACTTACCGTTAACCTTAGAAACATTTTCAAATTCCTAAGTCCAGCAAAATAATTCTTCATGCCCTGGGTCCTTCTTCTCTACTCCACTTTATCTCCTGCCCGCCCGCCGCTTACAACACTTCACACTCTTTATTTAGTTCCATCACGTACAGTTTCCTGAAGGGTTCTATACTCCTTCTAAACCTCCAGCTTTTACACGTTTTCCACCATGTGTGGACTCCTCCCATCTAATTTCTGTTGATATTGCAAATCTCAGTTTAGACATTGCCTCCTTAAAGAAGCCTAATCAGCCTTTGAGAACCAATTCCTCTGCATCCTCTTCCCTGGAACCAACTGTCTCCCTCGCCTTCAGGCACATTAACCCCTCCCTGACAGCTCATTTTCTAACACCTGCGCTCCTCTCATACTTTGTTCATATCTTTAATAAAGCATTTATCACACTGTAATTCAGCTCTGCACTGCTGCTCCCCTAACCATGTGCAGGCTCCTTGGGGACGGAGACTGTGTCTCGTTTCTGTGCTAGAAATCAACGATTTTTTCTTCCATATCCCCTCCCTACCCTTCTCTGTCCTGTGAGCCCCAAGAGGCTGACCTGTAATGACCACATAAATGGAATTCAGCCACTGGAGAGAAGAGGGTGAAGTCAAGGTCAAGGTCATCATTTCACCAGCTAGACAAGCCCTTCAACCAAAGCATAGCTTCTGCCCGTTGGTCCTCTCCACCTGGCTCATTGCTTCTGGATTCTGGGAATTTTCTCTCCCTTCATCCCTTCAGCCTAGGCTTGATAATATCTTCCTGATGTTACTGGCTCCAGGAGACCGCACTACCCCTTGTTTCTCAGTACTCTGCACTCGGCCCTCCCTTTGAAAACAGTCCCTTTATTAAATTCTTCTAAAAAGTTTGCCAGGACCCAATTAATTTCCTCTTTTAGTTTCTGGCAAAGATTCTAGCATATAAATGTTGAATGAATGGATGAATGAATAAATGAATTGGGGAAAATAACCCGAGCCATTGGCTAGCTTGGCTTATTCATCCTTCATTTCACAGGGAGGAAAAAATGATTTCTCAACTTAGAACCTGAAACTCGGCCTGGTATGGTGGCTCATGCCTGTAGTCCCACCACGTTGGTAGGCTGAGGTGGGAGCGTCAGTTGAGCCCAGAAGTTTGAGACCAGCCTGGGCAACATGACGAAACCACTTCTCTACAAAAAAATACCAAAATTAGCTGGCAGTGGTGGCACATGCCTGTAGTCCCAGCTATTCAGGAGGCTGAAGTGGGAAGATCAACTGAGCCTGGGAGGTTGAGACTGCAGTGAGCTATGATTATGTTGTTATATATCTCAAACAAGTAACAACAAAAGAACTTGAAATTCAAATGAGACAGTTTTAGAGTCAGCAAAGAAGGGGATCCTTGGGACCCTTTTGGCAGAAGTCAGGTCTGGGGAATGGGAAAGAGCCTGTTGGGCAGATATCCTTTGCTATAGCAGTCCCTGAGGTTTCCAGGGTGCTGGGCTCCCCAAAGAGAACTGCATTTCCTGCAGTGACTCTGCCACGTTGGGTGGGAGTGGCTCTGGTGCCTTCCTTTTCTTTCTCTTGGTCTTTCCCCTAGAGAAGGGATTAGAAAATCACTAGATTGTTACCTCCTCCAACCTCCCACTCAAATCCAGCAACCTGAAACTCAAGCTCAAGAGGTGTGGGAGGGGAAAGCCCAGCAGTCATCAAAGTAGGAGGGACTGCATTCATGAGCAGATCTGGGCCAAGGCCACAGCCGAGGGGTGGGGGGAGCAAGATCCTATGAGATGAGTCATACACCACAAACCCCTGTGGAGTTCTCCAGTAGTCCCAGCGCTGTTAAAGCTGGGAGGGACCTCAGTGCTCATTACACCGTCAGAACCTGGCCTGCGGAGCGGAAGCGATTGCCCAAGATCGCACAGCAAGTTGGGGGCAAAGGAGGTGTCAGAACCTAGGTCACCCAGTTCATAAACTTGCTACCTCATTGCCACACCACATCATACCACACTGCCTCCTGAGACCAGCAGATGCTTCCAAGATGTAAGATTTCAGGAGAAGGAACAGGATCCCAAAAGAAGAGGCCAGACAGACAGTGCAAGTCTGCTGTGCTATGTGCCTTGGAGAAGAGAATTAGCACTGGTCAAGCTATGGCCACACACAAGGCCCCAGCCATGTGCTGCTGGGGTCAAGAGCACCGTTTCCGAAACACATACTGAGGTCTGTCGGGGGCAGTGGGGGAGGGAGAGCATCAGGATAAATAGCGAATGCACGCCAGGCTTAGTACCTAGGTGATGGGTTGATAGATGCAGCAAACCTCCCTGGCACATGTTTACGTGTGTAACAAACCTGCACATCTTGCACATGTACCCCAAAATTTAAAATAATAAAGAAAAGAAAAAAAAGACTACTGGTTCTGAGCTCAAACAAATATGGATCTGAATTTTGCATCACGCTGAATAGGTGACTCAACTTTTCTAAGCCTCAGTTTCCTCACCTGTAAGATGAAGATTAAAAGAAAACTCACCTCACAGGATTTTTGTGGGGACTTAATAAGGTGATCCGTGTAAAGCACTTAGCACATTTAAAAGCTGGCACTGAATAAGCACTCAATATATATTAGCAATTATTTTTCCCTACAGCAATTGTTGGACTTAATTTTCATGATGCCATCCTTTCAAGAGAGACAGGACATGAGCTCAGTGAGGTAAGTTACTTGCTCAAATGTATGTATTCATTTATATCTGTTAAGCTTCTTCCAAGGGGCCAGATTCTGTTCTGGACTCTGGGGATATGGCAATGAATCAAGGCAACAAAAATCCCTGCCCTCATGGAGCTTTCATTGTAGTCGGGGCAGACAGACAATCAACAAGAAGTAAAAGTGAATCATATGAAATGCCCGAGGGAGATAAGTGTCATCGTGAGATATCAAGTGAGGAAGATGATGGAGAGAGGGAGGGCAGGTTGCAGTTTTAGGGAGAGTGGTCATGGAAAGCCTCCACATGATAATGATACAGGAGCTAAAAAGAAATTATTTAGGCGGTTAGTGAGGGTAAGAGAGTCCTTGGTAAGGCTTCCCTTTTAACAAAAAGCAGCCCCCAAAATCATTTCTTTTCTAACAAAGGGCCGCCTGTAACATCGATCTGCAGACATAAATAAGCAAGCTGGAAGCCTGCATAGGTAAATGCCAGCAGCTGTGCTGACAGGAAAAGGCTACCTGGGGGCCAGGTGTGTCCAACATGGAGGTCCCCTCTTTCTTTTTTTTTGAGACATAGTCTCACTCTGTCACCCAGACTGGAGTGAGTGCAGTGGCATGATCTCAGCTCACTGCAACCTCCACCTCCCAGGTTCAAGTGATTCTCCTGCCTCAGCCTCCTGAGTAGCTGGGATTACAGGCATGCACCACCACGCACAGCTGATTTTTGTATTTTTAGTAGAGACAGGGTTTCTCCACGTTGGCCATACTGGTCTCGAACTCCTGACCTCAGGTGATCCACCCACCTCGGCCTCCCAAAGTGCTGGGATTACAGGCGTGAGCCACCGCGCCCAGCCTCCTCTTTCATTTTTTTTTGTCACCACATGTGTAGTAGAAAGGCAGGCAACCCATGCTAGCCAGGTAGAGACCTCATCTGCATAATAAAAGATTAGGGTGGGATGTCCAGCTTCTTTGTGGGCTATGCAAATAGTGCACCTGCTCCTACCAATCTCGCAGGCCCTATGTAAACCAGACACTGCCTCCTCAGGCTCACCTAGAAAACTCCGTGCATTGCACCACAGAAACAGAAAACCCACTCAGGAGCCCCTTTCTCTCTGCAGCAGAGAGATCTATTCTCTTTCTTTTGCCTATTAAACCTCTGCTCTTAAACTCACTTCTTGTGCATCTGCGTCCTTGATTTCCTTGGTGCAAGACAACAAATCTCCAGTATTACCCCAGACAACTGACATCACTCCAGTGGCACTGAGCAAGGGTCTGAAGAAGGGAAGAGGGTAGGCTTGTGGCTCCCAAAGGGAAGAGCATTCCAGAGAAAAGGAAGCACGAGTGCAGAGACCTCAAGGCAAGCACCAAGTATTGGAAGGAAAGCCTGGAGGCTCCAAAACATGAGTGCAGGGAGAAGCCCAGAGGGCTGAAGTTAGAAAACATCCTTAATTATGGTGCTGGGAGCTGAGATTTCAACTCAGAACTGGTTCTCAAGCCCTTGCTCATCCCCATTTCGGGCTCCGTAGGTGACAGGCTGGTGTAATGGAGTTGATTCTGTTCTGTCTAGAGAGGGTTTTGGGTGGTCCAACGTTGGTACCAGGGAGGGAGCGAAGAATTCCATTTCCAAATAAGTATAATGTCTCTATCTTTGGAACCAAAAATCAGAACATAAATTTCAATAAGTACATGAACTTATAAGAGGGTAGGACAGAACATTTGAAAGGAGGGCATCCACAATATCTAGGACCTCGAATGAGCACAGAAGCTTTTCCATCCCAAAGATCCTCAGGCACTTTACCTTTATCCACCTCCAATAAGAAGCACCTCCTTCATTGGCCTGGGGAGAAGCAAGCTGGGATTCTTTAAAGCCCTCTACCTGTCCAAGTGGGCAGAATGCAGGAGTGGGAATTAGGTGGCCAGTGGCCCCAGATACCCAGTCCTGACTCCTGTACACTCTTGGAACCTTCTGTGTGCCTTCCTTTCCCTCCTCCAGCAAGAACCCCTCCATCTGCCCAGCCACCTCCCAGGATATTCCTAGGAAAGATCAAAGAGGACCTCTTGAAAGGGCTGGCTCTCACTCCAGATAATTGGTAGGTAAACGCACGGTGTCTTTAGGATGTAATGGGCCAGTGCAGGCAGAGCTCAGCAGAGGAAATCGCTTACTTCAAGGAGGGGCAGGAACTCTTCCAGGCCATTACAGTCCACTAAGTAAGCTGCCTTTGCCAAGGTGAAATGGCTCCCTGGTGACTTGAAGAACGAAGGTCTCCTACCATTTCACATTGCATTTTGGTTACTGAGCTGTGATGCTCCCCTTCTCTCTCCGTGACACCTTTGCAGCAGGGTTGCCATCACACTTCCGGCAGAAAGCCTGGGAAACCAAGCCACTGATTTCAAAGAGGTTGCAAATTCATGTGGAAGGAGGTGGGGGAGCGAGGGTGATGGAGAGGCTGCTCTGGAGCTCAGTGAGGGACCTCGGGGTTATATCAGAAGGGACTCTGTGCTGGGTTCCAGGCCTGGTTATTTCTTTTTCTTTCTTTTTCTTTTTTCTTTCTTTCTTTTTTTGTTTTTTTCTTTTTTCTTTTTTTTTTTGAGACACAGTTTTGCACTTGTCACCCAGGCTGGAGCGCAATGGTGCAGTGGCGTAATCTCGGCTCATGCAACCTCCCAGGTTCAAGCAATTCTTCTGCCTCGGCCTGCCAAGTAGCTGGGATTACAGGTGTGCATCACCGTGCCCAGCTAATTTTGTGTTTTTAGTAGAGACCGGGTTTCACCATGTTGGCCAGGCTGGTTTTGAACTCCTGACCTCAGGTGATCCACCTGCCTCGACCTCCCAACATGCTGGGATTCTATGGTGGCGTGAGCCACCACGCCTGGCTCCTGGTTATTTCTTGATGCCACACATCAGCTGAGTGGCTTTGAGGAAGTCAGTTCATGACTCCAGCCCTCAGATTTCTCATATAGAAAATGAGAAGATAATTGCTCAGTTCACACCCAGCTCTAAAATCCTGTGATTTTATGCGGAAAAAGAGATTGCACGGAGCATCTGCAGTGACTGGGAGGGCTCATGACTGAGCTGAGATGATCGACCTTTGTTTCAGATCCAGAAACCCCTTCACTTGAACCTCATTGCCACAAGCCAGACTGAGACCTAGACAGGGATTTTCATACAAACAACAAAAAAACACAGTGAAGGAGGCTGATTATTTTTACCAGGAGCTTGGAAGCCCAGAGGAAAAACATACAAGTAGGGCTAGGGACCCACACACACTCAGCTTCTGAATTTTAATATCAGAAGATCATGATCGTAAGCTACATCAACATCTTGGGATCCCAACTGGTGCCAACTAAGCCTTCTTGCTTAATTACATGCTTAGAGCACTACAATTTAAAATCCTGGCAACCATGTTCTACGCAATTAAAAACAAACTCACAAACAGGCCTTACTTGCGCCTCTAATATGTTGTTAAGAGTTGGTCCCTGCTGCTCACCCACTTCCCTGGGAACACTGGTTTTCACCAGACAGCCTCAGTCCCCAGTTTTTAAATGCCTGTCAGTTACCCTCTGGCTTCTGTCAACAGACTCATGGCCAAGTGTCATGCAAACCAACAGCTTTGCTTATTCCCACTCTGAGATTCCAGATAACTATGCCTCCATTAATCCCTGCTGAGGAACGCAGATTCCTCAACTGCACTGGAGATGCCGAGTGGATTTTGCATCATCAGTGGCTTTGAAAGCCGAAAGTGAAGCATCGGGATCTAGCCATGATTGGCCTTCATTCATTAATCAGTTCTGCTTTCTCTACCTTTCTAGGTTTATGAGCAGAAACCATTGCTTAAGAGACACTTACCATCAACCAGAATCACGGGGGACAGCACCATGAACTCAGAGCACTCACTTCTACACACCCTCTCAAACCAAACATTAATCCCAACTACATATGGTAATGAGAGCTACTAGCAAGCAGATATGGGGGTTCAGGCTTGAAGTCTGACCCTGAGCAAATGTTCCCATTTCACCAAGGAGCAAGGAGAACACTGTGGTGGTGTGTTTAGGGATGGAATCTCCACATCAAATCCACTGGCAAGACCTGGATGTTCTCGGAAAATGTTGAACATTAATCTTCTCATCTCTAGTTTCAACACCCAGCTGAGGCCACCATCATTTCTTGGATTTGGCTGGACAATGGCAACAGCCAGCTATGACTGCTTTGACTTTCTCTACAACTCCAGCTAATCTATCCTCCACTCCGCAGCCCGAACGATCACTTCAAAATTCACAGTAGATAATGACACTGCAGTGGAAAATGTTGATTGCTTTCTACTTAGCATAAACCCCGTATTCTTTACTGTGGCCTACAAGACCCTTAGTGCAATCCTTTCTTGATGGGCTCCTCATTTTTTAAGTCTCAGGTTAAATTAGTGGTTCTCAAAAGAGAGGAATTTTGCCCTTTAAGAGACATTTGGCAATGTTAGGAGATATTTTTGGTTGTCATAAATGGAAGTCAGGGCATGCCACTGGCATCCAGCGGTCAGAGGCCAGGGATGCTGTTGAACATTCTGCAATGCGCAGAATAGTCCCACAGCAAAGAATTGTCTGACCCAAAATGTCAGCAGTGCCAAAGTTGAGAAATCCTGGAGTGACTTTATCTGACCATTTTTATCTCAAATTGATTCCCATCCCCTACAATCTTCATACCTCTAACCACAATTTGCAATTATCCTCTTATTGTTATTTACATACGTGTAAGCGCCACATACCGGGCTAGAGACAAAGCGTGTCTTGTTCAACTTTGTTGTCTCAACACATACCACTTAGTAGACACTCAATAAATATTCGTGGGAAGAAGAAGGGCAGGAAAGGCGAAGGGCATGGAGAAAGGCAGTCCAGGTTAAGCAGCACCCCCGCCCTTCTGAGCCACTTTCAGGATCATGCTGACTTTCATCTTCATGTGGAAAACCTGCCATTTCACTTAGCCAGTTGCACTGATAATGTTTTATTGGAGAATGAGCCGAGTAGACTACGAAACACTTTAAAAATCAATCGTGAGGCAGGGTGGGGGGTGGGAGCACTGGCAAGAAACTGTTTACATGTCTTCAGTATTGACTTTGCTTTTGTCAAACAAGTCCTCTTGAGGGTAGGGACCACGTCTATTTCAGTCCCCGCTGTAGCCCCAGCACCTTGCACAGTGCATAGCACAGAGATAGTGGGTTCCCCAAAAGTGTTTGTGAATATGTGAGTACTCCCCCCACCTGCAGGGGCGGGAGGGCTGATACCCCATTGCACCTACTTCTCTGCCAGCTCATGAACCACTTATGGAGCCAGCCTTCAGGTCAGACTCTTGCTTTTCTTCCTGTTAGTGGCCCTTAAAAGAGCATTGCCAATAAAAACTTCAGCTCTGGAAAAGAATTCTATCCTTTGTCAGCTATTTCCGACAGCCCTTGAAAGAAAAATAAATTTGGCTCCAAGTTTTCCCATGCCTGTTTATAATTCCCCACGCAAAGCTCAGCTGTTTACACAATTTTGTCACCTAGAGACCCAGCTAACTCTATCTCAAAGGTAGCCTCTCCCGTCCCCACCTCATCAGCCTCCACTCCAACTTCCTCCTCCCCACTTACGTCTTTCAAGGACCCATGAGGATAAGCTGCAGGCTGTGAGGTTTCTACAGTGCACTCCTTCCTGGAATGACTCTGCCTAAATTTCACTCTTAAGCCTCAGAGACTCATGTTATCTTATTAGCAACACAAAATGGAAAAGACTGAACTCTTTCAGTTTAATCTGCTGAGTTTCCGAGGCTTCAGGGAACTCCTCCAAAAAATGTACTTAGCTTTTGTTAAAGGAAGTTAAAAAAAAAAAAAAAAAAGCCCAACATATTATTTGGCCTAAGTCTACTCATCTAATTTAGATTGTAGAAACCTATTGATTAGGTTCCCAGGCCTGTCACTTTTCCCCTATAGAGACTACAAATATCACTGCCATTAGGAAATTTTACATCATAAAACTCACTACTACGATCCCACTGTTATATTTTCCCTCTCTCTCTCCCTCTCTTTTCTCCTCTTTTACACGCACACAAAATTTGTTCTTTATTCTCATCAGCGCCATCTGGTGGTGTTTCAAGTATTCCAGTACCCTTTAAAAAACTATTAAAAAAAAAATAAAGATTGAAGACCCCTGAAGAGCACCTGAGTATGTGTCATATCTATCACAGTTAACCTATTCAAAAATGAAACTGGCCAGGCATGGTGGCTCACGCCTGTAATCCCATCACTTTGAGAGGCCAAGGTGGGCGGATCACTTGAGGTCAGGAGTTTGAGACCAGCCTGGCCAACATGGTGAAACCCCCCATCTCTACTAAAAATGCAAAAATTCGCAGGGTGCGGTGGCAGGCACCTGTAATCCTAGCTACTCAGGAGACTGAGGCAGGAGAATCACTGGAACCCGAGAGACGGAGGTTGCAGTGAGCTGATATCACACCACTGCACTCCATCTCAAAAAAAAGAAAAAATGAAATCAATAAATTTTGGAAAACATTTATTGATCCATTGTAAAATATAATAAGCCCATTAAATGTTTAACATAGATAACAAATTTTAATGAAAAAAATCAATATTAGTTTACATTTTTGTACTTCTCTTTAACATCTGACTTAAAAGACACCTAAATTTTCATATCTGCTTCTGTATTCAATCTGTTCCAATATCTTGTTTTAGCTGAAACATATGAAGAAAGTCGGCCTCAAACAGATATGTAGTTGGAAAAAAACACCAGTATTTTAATAGCCTTTTAAAATCATTGTGGGTATTCTCTGATACTATTCCAAAACTCTACAAGTTATGGTGTCATAAAAGTTAGTTGACGGCCAGGCATGGTGGCTCACGCCTGTAATCCCAGCACTTTGGGAGGCTAAGGCAGGCAGATCACAAGGTCAGGAGATTGAGACCATCCTGGCCAACATGGTGAAACCCCATCTCTACTAAAAATACAAAAATTAGCTGGGTGTGGAGTCCCAGCTACTTGGGAGGGTGAGGCAGGAGAATTGCTTGAACCTGGAGGTGGAGGTTGCAGTGAGCCGAGACCATACCACTGCATTCCAGCCTGGGCAACAGAGCAAGACTCTGTCTCAGGGGTGGTGAGGGGGAGGGAAAGTTAGTTGGAATGGGGAATCTGAAACCACATCCATGAACTTTTGGTACTGTTATGTTAAAACCTGCTGTTCTATCTTGGACTTTGAATGCATTTTTGAATGCATGATTTTGTAATCTCATTCACTGCCATTTGGGAAATATTGGTTCCTTGAGTAATACAGATCTTCAATGTTGACACATTGCATTATATCAAAAAAATCACACCATCAGAAACGGTTACCCATTTCTTTAAAAAAATCTTTAGTTTTGAAGAAACCGCCAAGGCCAGATGTGGCGAGGGCTCATGCCTGTAAATCCCAGCAGGGGAGGCTGAAGCCGTTGGATTGCTTGAGCCCAGGAGTTTGAGAACAGTTTAGCGAGTTCCCATTGAAAGAAAAGAAAAGAAAAAAGAAAGAACAGACTAGCAGGGCATGGTGGCTTGTGCCTGTAGTCCCTGTAGTCCCAGCTACTTCAGAGGCTCAGGCAGGAGGATTGCTTCAGCCCAGGAGATCAAGGCTGCAGTGAGCCATGATCATGCCTGAGAGACAGGGTACAACACTCCAGCCTGAGTGACAGGGTACAACACTCCAGCCTGAGTGACAGGGTACAACACTCCAGCCTGGGTGACAGGGTACAACACTCCAGCCTGGGTGACAGGGTAAAACACTCCAGCCTGGGTGACAGGGTACAACACTCCAGCCTGGGTGACAGGGTACAACACTCCAGCCTGGGAGACA